CCCCCCTCAATGGAGAATGGCAACCAGATGGCAGGGTTGGGTTTTTTTATTTTTTATTTATAATTTTTTTGCTTATCACTTTTTTTATTTTTACATTTTTATTTATCTTACTAACTTTTTTTCATTGTTTTAATACATTTTTTACTTGATCACTTTTTTATTTTTTCATTTTAATTATCATTTCTTATTTTTTACTTATTTTTTACTTTGTATCAATTTTTATTTTCTTTTTTTTCCACTTAACTTTATTGCTATCACACAGGAGCTAACAATCCCCTGTGTGATACCATTTACAATACAGGAGTTTGAGCACAGCACTGTGCTGGCTCTCCTGTGAAAAGCTGAGATGGGAAAGCTGTGAGTGCAGCTCTCCCGTCTCTCGGCAGCATCGTTGGGATCACGTGTACTAAACGAGAGCCGGCTTCCTCGCTCTACATTTAGCCAATTGCCCCAAGCTAAATGTAGAAAAAAAACTACCCGCCCTGCGGTTGTGCTGCCCCTCTTCACCCTGCTGCCCCAAGGCCAGGCCTCGGTGGCCTTGTGGGAAATCCGGCCCTGGCCACATATAACAAAGTTCCCACACAGCAATAATTCTCTTTTCTGAAAAGGATGCATGCAACCTGATCCTGCTTACGCTGTGATTGGTACGCACATGAGGTCTCCGAATTGGTCCCTCACCGTGTTATTGTGTCCCATCAGGTCCTCGGAAATTACATGAGGAGGCAGCAGAACCCGGATTCCTTCATCAACGAAATTAAATACATCGCCAGCGACCCGGATGAAAAGTATTTTTTCAACGTGACTGACGAGGCCGCGCTGAATGACATCGTGGACGCTTTGGGGGACCGGATCTTCAGCTTAGAAGGTGCAAACACACCCAAACATGACAGTCATGTGACCGTAACAACTCAGGTGTTGAGCGTTGGAGTCCTCATCGTGTAGTTGGGGTCGACTGGGAGCATGATTTGTCCCAAGTTTTTCTTTGAGTGGCCCTTAGAAGAAAGTGACCGTAGGATAAGGAATAGACGCACCACTGCTGGCGTCAGAGTCCAGAGTGATATTTTATTTAAAAATCACCAAGAAAAAGAAAATGCATTTCTGGGGTCTGAACAGACCCCCCCCCCCCCCCCCCCAGGTTCCCGGGACCGCCACCTAGCCCTTAATGAGGTCTTTTGCAGCCGAAGCCATGTTGCATCCTGTATCACTCACACCAGTTTTGCTGATTAGGCAAGAATATATATATAACATCCAAGCCCTGATGAAGGGGGAGCGTTCAGATGCCTGAAACACGTTATTTTTTTAATTATTTGATCGATTTAAGGTTTACTTGGGCTCCTTTGTGGTTTGGCGCTCCTTATGCCATCTTTCTCTTCCTGGATTCTGATTCTGGGGTGAGCAGGCTCACCACGGCCAATATAATCGGTCTGCTATCCTGCAGTGGGACCAGGACCGTTTTTCCCCTCCATGCCGCCCCAAGGCTGGGTTCGGCAATGCCCCCCAGCCCTTTCTCATCACTTTTTAATTTATTTATTTATTTTTTACTTTTAACATTTTTATTTATCTTGTCATCTTTTACTTTTTTTTAAATCATTTTTATCTTATAATTTTTAATTTATAATTATTTT